AAGCCAAAAAGTAAAAAAAAAATTGTTAGACTTAAATAGCTAACCAAATTAAGCCAAAAATTAAAAAAAAAAATGTTAGACTTAAATAGCTAACCAAATTAAGCCAAAAATTAAAAAAAAAAAAAGACTTAAATAGCCAACCAAATTAAGCCAAAAAGTAAAAAAAAATTGTTAGACTTAAATAGCTAACAAAATTAAGCCAAAAATTAAACAAAAAAAGACTTAAATAGCTAACCAAATTAAGCCAAAAATTAAACAAAAAAAGACTTAAATAGCTAACCAAATTAAGCCAAAAAGTAAAAAAAAAAATTGTTAGACTTAAATAGCTAACCAAATTAAGCCAAAAATGTAAAAAAAAATTGTTAGATTTAAATAGCTAACCGAATTAAGCCACAAATTAAAAAAAAAAATTGTTAGATTTAAATAGCTAACCAAAATAAGCCAAAAATTAAAAAAAAGTTTGTTAGACTTAAATAGCTAACCAAATTAAGCCAAAAATTAAACAAAAAAAAAAAAGACTTAAATAGCTAACCAAATTAAGCCAAAAAGTAAAAAAAAAAATTGTTAGACTTAAATAGCTAACCAAATTAAGCCAAAAATGTAAAAAAAAAATTGTTAGATTTAAATAGCTAACCGAATTAAGCCACAAATTAAAAAAAATTGTTAGATTTAAATAGCTAACCAAAATAAGCCAAAAATTAAAAAAAAGTTTGTTAGACTTAAATAGCTAACCAAATTAAGCCAAAAATTAAAAAAAAAAAAAGACTTAAATAGCCAACCAAATTAAGCCAAAAAGTAAAAAAAAAATTGTTAGACTTAAATAGCTAACCAAAATAAGCCAAAAAAATTAAAAAAAAAAATGTTAGACTTAAATAGCTAACAAAATTAAGCCAAAAATTAAAAAAAAAGAAATTGTTAGACTTAAATAGCTAACCAAATTCAGCCAAAATAAAAAAAAATGTTAGACTTAAATAGCTAACCAAATTAAGCCAAAAAATTTTAGTAAATTTTTTTTAACTTCGTAAACACGAGCTTGTTGCTCTGGTGAAACTTAAAACTGGTCAAACACTAGTAGAATTTTGTAAAAAAAAATTCAATTTTAAGAAGTCTGTTCAATTTTCTAGTTGCTAGTGAGGTCAAGTCAACATTCGTTTTTGATCACTGTGATGAGCAAATTTGATGGAGCGGGATGGAAAATTTTTCTCAAATTTCTAACTGTGAATGTGTTATTTGTTTGTAAAATTGCATTCTTTCTAAAAATTTAATGTTAAAGGCGAAACCAATTTTTTTAAGTACTTTAAAATGACATTTGTCCAGCCATCGAATATACAAAAAAATCTTCCTTTGAACATTCGTTCAAAAATCTACCAATGTATAGCCGGCCTAAGTGAAGGGATCCTTGCTTTATTTTCTATAAATTTGCAGGCAGTTTTGTCAAATTTAACGCAGATTTGTCACAAACCTGGAAAATAATTAGGCGAAGAAAATTTTTATAAACAGAGGCAACTTTAAAAGGTTACACCGGGAATTATCAAGATTGGCGCAGGTAGGGATATAGCTACAACCAGGGGCGGACTGACAACTCATGGGGCCCCCGGGGAATAGAGGATCATGGGGCCCCTGTGTCCTTGCCCAAACTCAAAAAAGCCTATGAAAAAGGTACCAGGGGCATCTCATGGGGCCCCCTACTGACCCCGGGCCCTCGGGCAGTGCCCGAGTTTCCAAATGGTCAGTCCGCCCCTGGCTACAACATAATCATACACGTGAATGTGCTGTGGGGGTATAGGATTTTACTAAAGAGTTCATAGGTCCACTGCCACTGTTGCCACTTGTCATTTTTAATAAAGTTTTTCCTATATACTGCTCTTAGTTGGCGCCCCCCCCTTGGGACCTTAAAGGTTTACTTCACCTTTTCCAAAATAAAATGGTCCCCGCTCCACTTACCTCCATGTGTGAGATTGTTTCACCGGCCACGCAGCTCGGTCCAGTGGTCCTGGGGTTTGAAAACTGCGCAGTTCTTCCTCTTCTTTCCCCAGGGACGCTGAGATGGATCAGATCAGTTCTGATTGGTCAGTGCCGGCACGTAACTTTATAACCCCTCCCCCATCTCCCCCAATTAAGGGCCCCATTCACACCCCAATGGGCCTGCTCACAACTAAGCCTTGTGTCGCCTGTTTTATGAAGTTCAAAAAGATACATGAGCTTCTTTGGGGCGCAATAGACTTTAAAAGAAATGACTCCAAAATTTCCCTCACTTTGGAGGGATTTCCTCCCATTTCCTGTTTCGGCTATGGGACAGGAAATGAAGAGAAATCTCCTCAATAGGACAGGTAGAAACCTAAAACGATGACATCAGAAAAAAGACCAAGTGGTCCATCGAGTCTGTCTGTTTTTTATTTTTTTAATTATTATTTTTACATGTCTGTCCCGACGATGTTGTGTCCCGGACCCTGTTCCGGCGATGTTGTGTCCCGGGCTCTGTCCCGACGATGCTGTGTCCCGGGCTCTGTCCCGGCGATGCTGTATCCCGGGCTCTGTCCCGGCGATGCTGTGTCCCGGGCTCTGTCCCGGCGATGCTGTGTCCCGGGCTCTGTCCCGGCGATGCTGTGTCCCGGGCTCTGTCCCGGCGATGCTGTGTCCCGGGCTCTGTCCCGGCGATGCTGTGTCCCGGGCTCTGTCCCGGCGATGCTGTGTCCCGGGCTCTGTCCCGGTGATGCTGTGTCCCGGGCTCTGTCCCGGCGATGCTGTGTCCCGGCGATGCTGTGTCCCGACGATGCTGTGTCCTGGGCTCTGTCCCGACGATGCTGTGTCCCGGGCTCTGTCCCGACGATGCTGTGTCCCGGGCTCTGTCCCGACGATGCTGTGTCCCGGGCTCTGTCCCGACGATGCTGTGTCCCGGGCTCTGTCCCGACGATGCTGTGTCCCGGGCTCTGTCCCGACGATGCTGTGTCCCGGGCTCTGTCCCGACGATGCTGTGTCCCGGGCTCTGTCCCGACGATGCTGTGACCCGGGCTCTGTCCCAATCACACTGTAGGGCATGGCCAGCATGTAGAGCTGGTTCTTCTAGAAGAAATTTGATCTCTTTCTGGTTTCTTGCATCTCCTGGAGGCTCCAGCGGTGAGATCTCCCTGATATAAATTCACGGCTCTACTCCTGTCCTCCCTGTAGATTTGAATGTTCCCGCCCACTTTTTGTATCCACCCACTTTTTTTGTCTCCGCCCACCTTTGTGTCCCAGCCCCTCCTCTTACATTCTCCATGAAGCAACAGATGTGCAGACCCGGAAACCCAGCACAGAGATCTCTTGGAGGGGGAGGGGGGAGGATAGAAAAAGCCGTCAAAGGGTTCAGCTCTCCAACATCTACCAAACTGTACAATATCAGTTTTTGGGTGGGGTTGCCCTTAAAGTGGCACCACATCCTCACTCTCTATAAACAGGCCCACTACCTAATGGTCCTGTAGTCTATTTTTGAATAAATCAAACAGTGTACGTTAGTTGAGGTCAGTGCGCATTGCTCTTTGCGCACTACAAAGCCCATACTGGGTAGTCCATCTTGGCACTGAGTAAGTGAGGGTGGCTACGTTCCTACAAACAGCGGGACCATGGAGAACGAATGTAGCCACCCTCCAACAGGAGATCGGATTACAGCAGCAAAAAATAAAAGGAGGAGTTTGAGATTGGGAGGAGACTGAGGGTAATGGAAGGGATTTTACCGAGTGAAGGATACTTACTTGACCAGACTTTGGTGTCATCTTAACCCATTTAAAGACACTGATGTAGGTCATGTTGGTGGCAACAAAGGGTGTGGGGGGGAGGTTATACACTCTGACCCCTGGTATTGTCCCCCACCGCCATCATGTAACCTGGACTCCACTCCCCCACCTGTGGACCCAAGACCGGCATGGCAGGTGCCACCAGGTAGAAGTGAGGGAGAAAGTCTACTTGGAGGTGCAAAAAAATGAAAAACCCGTAAGTGGACAAAAAATGTACAAGTGCAAAACACAATAAAAACGTGCACTTAGGGGTGTGCTTCTGTTCACTCCCCGAAGGGGTGGGACCTCTACCCTGATCCCCCAGGGTGCAAGGCTTCTGACAGGGACAACATGGTCCACCTAGTCCTAGCCAAAAGGCCTGGCGGACTCATTTCCTTGAGGCTAGCTGAAGCCGACCACCAAGTACTAGGTCAGGGAGCTCTCCCGAAGAAGGGACCCCCGGGAACAGGGGGCGGACTGACCATTTGGAAACTCGGCACTGCCCGATGGCCCGGGGTCAGTAGGGGGCCCATGAGATGCCCCTGGTAGCTTTTTCGTAGGCTTTTTTGAGTTTGGGCAAGGACACAGGGGCCCCATGATCCCCTATTGCCCAGGGGGCCCATGAGTTGTCAGTCCGCCCCTGATCTATCCTACCTAGAACCTGGAAGCAACATGGATTACATCACTTCTGGGTTCAACTGTCATGTTCCCCGGCCATTGTGGCCAGAGAAGAAGCTAATGGAGAGCAATCTGTCCCCTATTAGCGTCAATGAAGGGCAAATGAGACATTAGGGGGTCTATACATAGTGTGAGGAAATCTAAAATTGACTGTCAGGTCAGACTGCAATGTCTGTGGGGTCCCTTAAAGTGTTACTAAACCCCGGACCCTGCATTCACTACATCCGATCTCTCTGGACCCTGCATTCACTATATCCGCTCTCCCCGGTCCCTGCATACACTATATCCGCTCTCCCCGGACCCTGCATTCACTATATCCGGTCTCCCCGGACCCTGCATACACTATATCCGCTCTCCCCGGACCCTGCATTCACTATATCCGCTCTCCCCGGACCCTGCATTCACTATATCTGGTCTCCCCGGACCCTGCATTCACTATATCCGCTCTCCCCGGACCCTGCATTCACTATATCTGGTCTCCCCGGACCCTGCATTCACTATATCTGGTCTCCCCGGACCCTGCATTCACTATATCTGGTCTCCCACAGTACACACAACATGGAAATACAATTAGTAAATATAAACTGCTAAATCCCTTTTCCCATCAGCAGTTAGAGCAGTCTTGTGACTTCTATCAGTGTCCAGCAGAGCACTGGTTACAGCTTGTAGGAGGAGTTTTCTTTCTGCTCTAGGAGGATGCAGAACCCCTGACCCTCTGTCTGGATAGTGCAGATTGGCCCTGTGCTGATTACATGCACTCTCCAAAGAAAAAAAACAACCTCTCTAGAAATACTCACCAAACTGAGCATGTGCAGAGTGACTCTTAGAGCTCTGTACTATCAGCAGATGGATTGGTGACAGTAGTAGAAGGGGAGGATCAGAGAAGACAGGATCAAACAGCCTTTTTTACACAATGCAGAGCATTAACCCCTTAGGTTCCACAGTGAGTATAACAAGCATGCTTTACTGCATCTACAGACTGATTGTACTGCGGGGGGTTTAGTAACACTTTATTTGAATGAAATTTGCCTGGTTCAGCAGGGATCGGTTGAATGCCCATCCATGTATGGGCACTGTAGTAACAGAAGTCAATCGACCAACTGATTGCTGGAAAATTTCCTCTCGTTCGGCGCTGCAGGCTATAGCCGGCAGTGCAGATCAGTGTATGGTGACCCTGGTGAAGTCTTCCTACTGCCGGAATACAAAGGCGACAAATGCAGATGAGGCACTGGACAGCTCCCTGTGCATACATGTGATCAGTAGATGTCCAATCATGTGACAGCCAATCACAGCGGACACATGATGAGAATGCCCAGCACCGCCCCCACCTCCACCCCAGCTCCACTCCATCTCCACCCCACCTCCACCCCAGCTCCACCCCAGCTTCACCCCACCTCCACACCAGCTCCACCCACCTCCACACCAGCTCCACCCCAGCTTCACCCCAGCTCCACCCCGGCTTCACCCCACCTCCACACCAGCTCCACCCCAGCTTCACCCCACCTCCACACCAGCTCCACCCCACCTCCACTCCAGCTTCACCCCACCTCCACACCAGCTCCACCCCACCTCCACTCCATCTCCACCCCACCTCCACACCAGCTCCACCCCAGCTCCCCCTCCAATCATTTGCCAAGTCGCACCCTATTGTCCGCAATTGGAGTGGTCACATCGGTGCGGTCCCGACTTGGTCGGAGCCGCACCGACTTCTAATGTAGTACATGCGCAACTTTCAGCGCGTTTTGTATCAGACGTCTTACAAATCGCACCTGAAATCCGCGAGTCCCCCGACTTTTAAATTGTGTGACTTCACTGTAAGTCGCACGATTTCAAAGTCGGGCTTGATGTGACCCGATGGCTTAGTCTAGGCCCACAGCTATGCAGGTTGCGTTTCTGCGTTTTCAACACGTTTGTATGCCTTTTGCGTTTTTTTTTCTTCCATTTTTAAATTTTTTCTTGTTGCTAGGCAGATTTAAAATGCAGCAAAAACGCACTACACGCTTTTCTGCAGCGTTCATTTTGCTAAACAAGTGAAAAAAGTCTGAAAATTTGGGCGTTTTCATCGTTTGTTATAAAATTTTGCAAGTAAGTGATGTTTCTTCTTCACTGATAAGCTGCACTGATGGGCATTGATGAAAAGGCACTGATAAGGATGTACTGATGGGCACTGATAGGTGACACTGAAATGCACTGACAGGCATTGATACACTCTACTGATGGGCACTGATAGGCTGAACAGATGAGGTGGCACTGATAATGCTGCACTGATAAGCACTGAAAAGGCTGCACTGATGAAGAGGCACTGATAAGGCTGCACTGATAGGTGACACTGATACATTGCACTGATATGTTGCATTGATGAAGCTGCACTGATAAGACTGCACTGATGGGCTGCACTGATGGCCACTGATAAGGCTGCACTGATGGGCACTGATAGGCTGCACTGATGGGCTGCACTGATCGGCACTGATGGGCTGCACTGATCGGCACTGATAAGCTGCACTGATCGGCACTGATAAGCTGCACTGATCGGCACTGATAAGGCTGCACTGATGGGCTGCACTGATGGGCACTGATATGTTGTATTGATGAAGCTGCACTGATGGGCACTGGTATGTTGTATTCATGAAGCTGCACTGATGGGCACTGGTATGTTGTATTCATGAAGCTGCACTGATGGGCACTGGTATGTTGTATTCATGAAGCTGCACTGATGGGCACTGGTATGTTGTATTCATGAAGCTGCACTGATGGGCACTGGTATGTTGTATTCATGAAGCTGCACTGATGGGCACTGGTATGTTGTATTCATGAAGCTGCACTGATGGGCACTGGTATGTTGTATTGATGAAGCTGCACTGATAAGGCTGCACTGATGGGTGACACTGATACGTTGCACTGATGGGCACTGATAGGCTGCAGTGATGCGGCTGCCCTGATTATCAGTGTAAATGTCCCGTCACAGGCAGGGGCGGACTGACCATTTGGAAACTCGGGCACTGTCCGAGGGCCCGGGGTCAGTAGGGGGCCCCATGAGATGCCCCTGGTACCTTTTTCATAGGCTTTTTTGAGTTTGGGCAAGGACACAGGGGCCCCATGATCCCCTATTGCCCGGGGACCCCATGAGTTGTCAGTCCGTCCCTGGTCACAGGACAACTGGTCATCATCTTTCCCTTCCTCAGACAGTCACAGCGATAACCGTCCTTTGTCTGTGATTGGTCACCACTGATCACATGATCCAGCGTCATTGGCCGTTTACCCCAATCAGTGATGTCCGAGGGGCACAGCTCACCACCCTCCACGTGGCAAGAATGGGAGGGCGTCATGTGACATCCTCCCAGAACGAGGTCCCTCCCAGCTGGTCATTCTACAATAGGCCGGGCGGGATCTGGGTACAATCAGATTGTACCATCTGTTTTAGGATGGCCATACACCCTTCAATCTGACCAAATAACCTCTGTACAATAAACGGTCGATCTACCGACACTAGCTGATCTATCCAATCAATCGTTACCCAATCAGGCAGGCCCTTCCATTACCTAGTTGTGGCGAGATATAAAAGCGATTGTGTGCCCAGATTGTACTGTGTGTGGGCCTGACAAAGTCAATAGATTATGAAGGTCCTTATATTACGTATTTACGGCAAATCTGATGTGGATTGTATGGCCAGATTGTAACTTGTATGGTGATCTGCAGGAGATTGTACCATGTGTGGCTTGGAACGAACCGTACAATCTCCTTTCCATCTTCCAGCTACCATGTAGTACGAGGATCCGTCTGATTGGATAGAAATGGGAGGGGATGTTTCCGATTTGCCGTCCTATCATCTTGGATGGGCAGAGCCTCGCATGACAAAGCTTTGCACCTTTTTCAGGAGATTGTACAATCCGATTGTAATGTGTATGGCCAGGTTCCGCAGGCCCCTATAGCACGTCTAAGCCGTACAAACCAACCAATCGGCTGCCAGCTGTTTATTTCCCTGCGCAGGGCTAACCCCTGGACACCAAACCAGCAGCGACTCGTTGCAGAGAGCAGCACAGACAGTCCTCCTTTCCGGGCCGATCAGGTTGACTGGAAAAGACATTAGCGGGGGCTCAGATGTCAGCACATGCAGTGTTTGTGGTCGAGGCTGGCCCAGCTGCTCCGGGAACCACAGGAAAGGCCAAGCCGAGAATCCTCACGTTGGTGTCCTGTTTCTGGGCCCCCCCCATCCTCGATCTGTGCACCTCCATTAAAGGAAACCTCCCTGCTCTAGGGGAACCAGTCACTCTTCGAGGGCACGTCCACTCCAAAGTGAAATTTTAGTTATAGGTGGAGCCTGCTGGACTGACCCAGCTCCCGGCCTCTTACATATGTTCTCCCAGCCGTAAATCCCGTGTCCCTGTCCACCTGGGAGTTGTGTGTCCCCGCCCACCTTGGTGTGTCCCCGCCCTCCTCTTACATGCTTCATGAGAACAAAAATTTAAAAAAACTAAATACAAATCCTGCAACAAATATAAAGAAAATGTAAAAAAATGTACAAAATATAAAGTAAATAAATGTAGAATAAAATAACTACTATAAATACAGTAAATAATAAAAAACAAAGTAACATAAGAACACAGATAACTAAAGTAAATAAATAAAAATAATAAAGTAAATAAATGACATAACAGTCATAGACAAGGTAAATATATGTGGGAAAAAAAAAACTATATAAATAAAATAAAGAAATAAAATAACAGTCATAGACAAGGTAATACAAAATAAAATAATAACACATATAATTAAAGTAAATAAATAAAAACAATAAAGTAAACAAAAAAATTATATAAAGTAATAAATAACATACCAGTCATAGACAAGGTAATACAAAATAAAATAATAACACATATAACTAAAGTAAATAAATACAAAAAAATATAGTAAACAAAAAGAATTACATAAATAAAGTAAATAAATAACATAACAGTCATAGACAAGGTAAATATTTGGGGAGAAAAAACTATATAAATAAAGTAAAGAAATAACATAACATTCATAGACAAGGTAATACAAAATTAAATAAATAACACATATAACTAAAGTAAATAAATAAAAACAATAAAGTAAACAAAAAAAATTATATAAATAAAGTAAATAAATCACTTAACAGTCATAGACAAGGTAAATATGTGGGGGAAAAAACTAGATAAATAAAGTAAATAAATAACAACAGTCATAGACAAGGTAAATATGTGGGGGAAAAACTATATAAATAAAGTAAAGAAATAACATAACATTCATAGAAAAGGTAATACAAAATAAAATTAGAAACATATAACTAAAGTAAATAAATAAAAACAATAAAGCAAACAAAAAAAAATTATATAAATAAAGTAAATAAATCACTTAACAGTCATAGACAAGGGAAATACGTGGGGAAAAAAAACTATATAAATAAATAACAGTCATAGACAAGGTAATTTAAAATAAAATAATAACACATATAACTAAAGTAAATAAATAAAAACAAAGTATACAAAAAAAATTATATAAATGAAGTAAATAAATGACATAACAGTCATAGACAAGGTAACTATGTGGAAAAAAATAAAGTAAATGAATAAAAATAAATAATAAATATACATTTAAAAAAATAAGATAATCATACATTTAAATTAAAAAATAAATAAAATAAAAACTTATAAATAGAAAATAAAATAAACAAATGTGTAAAAAAAGAGAGAAAGTAAATAAACAGCTGGTTGTGAACATTCCAGAATAAAAATGGGGCCGTTATTTCAGACAGAAATAGTTCTCCTGTAAAGGTTTATGTAACATACGTTGTTTTTTTTTTTTTTTATGCTGGCGTAGCGCCGTTTTATTTCGCTGATGAGGCTCCTTCCATCGCTCTGCTATGGTTTTGAGGAAGGGATGG